GGGAACCCAGCCAGATGGGCGGGGTATAAATGTTAGAATCATAGAATCATAGAATCATAGAGCTGGAAGAGACCACAAGGGCCATCGAGTCCAACCCCCTGCCAAGCAGGAAACACCATCAGAGCACTCCTGACATATGGTTGTCAAGCCTCTGCTTAAAGACCTCCAAAGAAGGAGACTCCACCACACTCCTTGGCAGCAAATTCCACTGTCAAACAGCTCTTACTGTCAGGAAGTTCTTCCTAATGTTTAGGTGGAATCTTCTTTCTTGTAGTTTGGATCCATTGCTCCGTGTCCGCTTCTCTGGAGCAGCAGAAAACAACCTTTCTCCCTCCTCTATGTGACATCCTTTTATATATTTGAACATGGCTATCATATCACCCCTTAACCTCCTCTTCTCCAGGCTAAACATGCCCAGCTCCCTTAGCCGTTCCTCATAAGGCATCGTTTCCAGGCCTTTGACCATTTTGGTTGCCCTCCTCTGGACACGTTCCAGTTTGTCAGTGTCCTTCTTGAACTGTGGTGCCCAGAACTGGACACAGTACTCCAGGTGAGGTCTGACCAGAGCAGAATACAGTGGCACTATTACTTCCCTTGATCTAGATGCTATACTCCTATTGATGCAGCCCAGAATTGCATTGGCTTTTTTAGCTGCCGCGTCACACTGTTGGCTCATGTCAAGTTTGTGGTCAACCAAGACTCCTAGATCCTTTTCACATGTACTGCTCTCAAGCCAGGTGTCACCCATCTTGTATTTGTGCCTCTCATTTTTTGCCCAAGTGCAATACTTTACATTTCTCCCTGTTAAAATTCATCTTGTTTGTTTTGGCCCAGTTCTCTAATCTGTCAAGGTCGTTTTGAAATGTGATCCTGTCCTCTGGGGTGTTAGCCACCCCTCCCAGTTTGGTGTCATCTGCAAATTTGATCAGGATGCTCTTGAGTCCATCATCCAAGTCGTTGATAAAGATGTTGAATAAGACCGGGCCCAAGACAGAACCCTGTGGCACCCCACTAGTCACTCTTCTCCAGGATGAAGAGGAACCATTGATGAGCACCCTTTGGGTTCGGTCAGTCAGCCAGTTACAAATCCACTGAGTGGTAGCATAGTCAAGACCGCATTTTACCAGCTTCTTTACAAGAATATCATGGGGCACCTTGTCAAATGCCTTGCTGAAATCAAGGTAGGCTAGGCAAGTAAAGCATCTGTAACAGATGGCCATCCAAACCCTGCTTAAAAACCTCCAAACTTCCACCCTTCTAAAACTCCATCCCCATGATGCCCAGATCACACCATACACACTGAATATTATGCTTGAGAGTTATATAAACAGCTGAGGAGAAGGCAGCCGGGATGAGCCCACAAGCGCGCGCTGTCTCTCTCTCTCTCTCTCTCTCTCTCTCTCTCTCTCACACACACACACACACATGTCCATTCCCTTTCTTGTCGCCTTCCAACCCATAGAAGGCAAACGGATACTGCAAGGAACCTTTTGTACTTTCAGAGGCTCCCTATGCACTTTGTAACCCTGGAGAATCAGAGTCCTAAAATGCAGAGAGAGAGACTCCATGTTTGGAAAAGGCTCCTTGCTTCAAACATGAAGGTGACTGAGCTGGTGATGGAGGGGATAGAACTAGCGAAGAACAAGTGTGCTCAGTCTCCAGACCCCCCCCCCCCCGCCTCATGGTAACTGTTGGATTCTGACCACCTGAAAATGTTGCTAATTTCTTCAGCGCATAAGTGTCTGTCTGCATAGTGTGTCTTTGGGTAGCAGGATACAGAGGCAGGCGAATTCACCTGTGCAGTTCTTTACAGAGAGACCTTTTTAAATCATCTACCAATTGGAGAAGGGCTTAAATCCGTATACCATCTAAGAAGGTAATTACTATATTCCCTTGGATTTGTTGCCGTCAATTTCACATTCTCGGCTGCTGAAGTGAAACCAGTGTCATTATACTTGAAGCGGGCGGATTATGGCTCAAGTGATTTAGCTGAAATGTTCTGTTATTTGCTTAAAGAAACTGCGCGACCATTTTTTGCTCTCGGGAGCATTTCATTAGAAATAAAAGTGAGGTGCAATTAAGGACAGCTAGCCGTCAGTCTTCACTAAACCCTTAATTCCTAAATTCATACTCCATGGTTTTCAAAGCCTGAGTCCAAAATTCCTCGTGCAGAAAGAGTTGAGGCAAGTATTTTTAATGTGTGGAATACAACAGAGCAATCCTATAACATTGCCGAGAGAGCACCGTTTCCAATGCAAGTCCAATGGGGCTTTACTCATAAGCAAGTGCACCTGGGCTTGCAGCCTTTGCCTTGGTCCTGTAACCTCATTCCTCCCCCTTTAGGCTACATAGCACTACCTGCTTTTTGACTGTGCTCCTGCCTTAAAGAAATGGACACAAAGACATATATAGTGGTACCTCGGGTTAAGAACTTAATTCGTTCCGGAGGTCCGTTCTTAACCTGAAGCACCACTTTAGCTAATGGGGCCTCCTGCTGCTGCTGCGCCGCTGGAGCACGATTTCTGTTCTCATCCTGAAGCAAAGTTCTTAACCTGAAGCACTATTTCTGGGTTAGCGGAGTCTGTAACCTGAAGAGTCTGTAACCTGAAGCATCTGTAACCTGAGGTACCACTGTATAATAAATAGAAGTTCACCTGAGCACATCTAGAGCTTCTTTTGCCCACAGCCAAATGTGGGGTGAGGGGAGCACCCTGTTGCAACAGTTTAATAAAGATCAGGCTTACTAGCTGCTTTGCTTCTCAATATTCTCTGGCTGGCCTGTTATTTTCTCCTACCGATGGATAACCTACAAAGTACTCTATAAGGGCTCTTGTGTACTCCATAAGGGAACAAGACAAGATTTTGTTTACAACATCTCTTTTGTTTCCTCTTCATGAGGTGACTGTTGGTTTCTGCTTTCCTTCACTGTGCAGCGAAAGTGCTTGTCACGAGACAGGTGTTGACATTCCACAGTCTGTACTGTTGGAGTTTCTCACGGGAAAGGGAGACTGGATGTGACGTACACTGGTTTCCTGTTTTTCACTGTGTGATTCTCTCCGAGCTGTCGAGGAGAGAGGATGCATTCTTCTGCTCCGGCAGAGGCAAGATGTCTTTCTGTAATATACCAGCTTTGAACTGTAAATAAAGCAATATAGAGTATGCAGCACGTATTCCTCATCCTTTCGCTGGGCAACCAGACTCTGCTTAAATCAACACGTGGTTATGGGCTCCAGAAGTCGAATCGGAGTGCCGGCAGAGGATCGGAATGCAGAGGGACAGATCGGAACGGAATCTGCTCTGCGCGTAGAAGTGATTGATGAGGTATGTGCTACTGCTCCGGGCAGCCTGCCAGCTTCAAGTTAATGGCTTTATGGCTGGACTTTGAACTTTTAAAGCCGGTTTTGCCGGGAATAGGCAAAAGGCTCCCAGGCACAAGTCACTATGCTGGGGAAATCGAAGTAACTTTTAAGTGTGCCTTTGTAATGAGGCAGCTGCAGCAGTGACGCAGCAAGATTTAAAGCAGCATTTATGACGCTGAAGGCTAATGCCAGAGTCATGATGGCCCTTCAGGATGCTTGTGGGATTCCTAAGCTCAACAAGAAAAATTACAGCGACTGGGTTCAGTATGCAGAGGCAATTCTGCGGAAAGAGGGTTTGTTTGAGGTGATTACAGAAACCCCCCCAGTTCCAGTTACAGATGCATGGAAAGCTAAGGATTCCAAAGCAAGGGGAACTCTTACATTGATAGTATCCCCAGAAGAGCTCTGTCTATTGCGTGATAAGACCTCAGCCAGAGAAATTTGGGACTTTGTTACTGCCGTGATTTTAAATGAAGCAGATCGCCGGGGTGCTAGCTGCATGGGCAAGGGGGAGTCTTCACAGACGTCATCCCATAGTGCAGTGGAACCACCAGATGGCGCCAAAGCTTTGAAGGCAGTGAAATGCTACTCGTGTGGACGTCTAGGCCATATGGAAGAGGGAATGCAGACATCCCAGGGCCAAGACAGAGCAGCGCAGCGAAAGCTCATCGCGCGGAAAAGGCCGAGGCAAAGGCAAAGGTCCGGTGTCTAGGACAACGCAGCACAAGGCTATGGTTTCACGCTTCACTCCAAAGGTTGCAGAGGTCCAGAAGACGTCTAGATCTTTCTTCGTTGTTGATTCAGCGGCCACCCACCACATGTGCAACGATAAGAAACTGTTTGTGTCTTTTACACCGCAGGAAGGTGCGATTCACCAGGCGGATGACCACACTATTCCCAGTAAAGGCTACGGAACTGTTGTTCTTCACAGTTTGGACTTATCGATACAGAATGTGCTTTACGTGCCAGACGCCAAACATAATCTGCTCAGCGTTGGACAGCTGAATGAGCGGAACATTGACGTTTCCTTCAAGAACAAGAAGTGCATCATCACAAAGAAAAATGATTATGTATTGCATGCAGAATATGTTGATCATTTGTTTGTTTTATATTATGATGATGTGGTGCAGGATGACACTTGTTGCATTGCAGGTTCTAACAAAAGTTTGCATGCAGAATGTATTCACGATTTTCATCGAAAATTTGGTCATTTGCATTTCGAGGCAGTATCTAAAATGCCTGCCTTGGTTGAAGGTATGACTATTAAACCCTGCAGGTACCACATGAAGTGCAAAGCATGCGCAGCAAACAAGGTGAAAATGGCTGCGAAAGGTAAGGTGTCTAGTAGGAAAGCTACAGAACCATACCAGGTTGTTCATGCTGATTTGGTTGGACCACTAGCGCCCTCTTTGGGTGGAAATAGATACTTCATGGTTCTCATTGATGCATTTTCTAGATATATTTTTGTGTACAATCTCAAGCAGAAATCAGAGGCTTTTCCTAGGTTCAAGGAATTCTGTGCTTGGTTAGAAAATGTGCATAGTAAGAAGATAAAGACTCTTTTCAGTGATCGCGGGGGGGAATTCACTTCTCAGCAGTTTGAAGCTTTTCTGACTGAGAAAGGAATTCAACACGATTTGTCTAGTCCTCGCTCGCCATGGCAGAATGGACTCGCGGAACGGGCAAATCAGACATTGCTTCAAGGGTTAAAAACCTTACTTCATGATGCCAATCTTCCAGAGAGTTATTGGGCCGAATCTCTCTCGTGTTTTGTTTACAGTTACAATCGCAGGTTATCTTCAGCGATTGGTTGTACCTCTATGAGAAGATGTTTGGCAAGAAGCCATACATCAAACACATGAAGATTTTGGTTCTGACATGTGGGTTCGCTCACCACAAAACTCCAAGTTAGACAAGCGTGGATTGCATGGTATCTTTCTAGGTTATCAGAAAGGGTCTTACAGAATAATGATGACTGACTCTAAGACAATTAAGCTCACGAGAAGTGTCGAGTACAATGCAAAGTGGGGGAGAATGTGGGAATTTTCCAATGTTATCCTGATGACGGTGATGAGACTGAGGATAGTCAAGCAACCACAACAGCCCACACCCACTGATGAAGGTTCTGAGTCTGAATCTGAAACTGAATCGGGTGATTCAGAGGATTTCAAGAGTGCGAAAGCCTCTATGCGACCCTCTGAAAGCTCTGATCAAGAATTGGAGGAACCATTGTTCACAATAGGTCGTTTTTCTCCTAAGAAGGAAGAGGAGAGTGTTGAAGACTTAAGGCTAATTCGTAGGTCACAGAGAGCCACAAAAGGCAAACCTCCAAAGAGATTTGCTGATGAGTTTGCTACGATAGCAGTAACAGCTGTTAAAAGCTCCAAGAAGGTATTTGAACCTTCAAGTTTCCAAAAAATCCAGGGTTTGGATTCAAAGGAAGCTGAGCCATGGTTAAATGCCATGAAGGCTGAGCTTGATTCCTTAGAAAGGAACAAAACATGGGAGCTAGTTCCAGTAGTTCCAGGAATGAAACTGCTTGGAAGCAAATGGGTCTTCAAAGCGAAGACAGATCAAAATGGCAAGATAGTCAGACACAAAGCCAGATTGGTAGCCAGAGGTTTTGCACAGGTACCAGGTGAAGACTATCACGAGACCTATTCACCCACAGTGAGATATGAAAGCATTAGGCTTATGCTTAAGCTAGCTGCAGAGGAAAATCTACACATTAGTCACCATGATATTAATACAGCTTTTCTGTACGGATCTCTAGATGAATCACTTTATATGCTTCCACCTGATGGCGTACAGGTAAAACAGGGATTTGTTTGTGCTCTGAAGAAATCCCTTTATGGTCTCAAACAAAGTGCACGGTGTTGGCACACAAACTCACTGAAGTATTGTTTTCTCTAGGTTTTCAGCAAGGGAAAGCTGATCCATGTGTATTTGTCAAAGAGGAGGGGCAAAAGAAACTGTACTGTTTGTTTTATGTTGATGATTTATTATTCTTTTGGAAAGATGTTGCAATGTACAATAGCGCCCTAGCTCAACTGAAAGAGCACTTTGACATGAAAGATCTTGGTGAGGTAAACAACTACCTATCTCTGGAAATAGAGAAAGATCAAGATGGTAACATTCTAGTACACCAGTCACGGAAAATTGCTGATGTGTTAAGCAAACTAAATCTGATGGATGCTAACCCTGTAGACACACCGATGACAACAGGTTATCAGGTAGATGACACTGAAGAAGCATTTTCTGACACTACACTGTACAGGAGTGTGCTAGGCAAGCTAAACTTCATTGCCAGATGTTCAAGACCAGACATTGCTGTTAGCTGTAATTTGCTAAGCAGACAAGTCAACAATCCTAGTGTCAAGGATTGGAAAGCTCTGAAACGCATAGCGCGGTATTTGAAAGGCACTATGCATTACAGACTGAGATTTAACAATCAGAAGTCTGGTGGTCTTGAGATATTTGCAGATGCAAGTTTTGGAAGTGACACTACAGACAGGAAAAGTAACGTCTGGAGTTTGCTACATGTACAATCAGAGTCTATTTGATTGGTCATGCAAGAAGCAAACAACAGTTAGCTTAAGTACTTGTGAAGCCGAACTGAATGCACTGTCTTATTCACTTAAGGATTGTGAATGGTTAGTACAATTGTGCAAAGATATGAAAATTCCTGTCAAATGTCCAATCCAGGTTTACCAGGACAACAAAGCATGTTTGGCTTTGCTGAAGTCTGAAGGTTGTGAGCAAAGCACAAAGCACTTGCAATTAAAGTTGCAGCATGCTAGGGAATGTATTCAGAAGGGACTCGTAACGGTGTCCTATATGCCAGGTAATGAAATTCCTGCTGATGTATTGTCCAAGATTGTATCGAGGGATCAACACTGTACCTATGTGCAGAAGTTGGGTTTGTACTGATATTGTACGAACACGCTGCCCAGTGATGTTCACAGAAAGGGGGAGGATGTTGGTTTCTGCTTTCCTTCACTGTGCAGCGAAAGTGCTTGTCACGAGACAGGTGTTGACATTCCACAGTCTGTACTGTTGGAGTTTCTCACGGGAAAGGGAGACTGGATGTGACGTACACTGGTTTCCTGTTTTTCACTGTGTGATTCTCTCCGAGCTGTCGAGGAGAGAGGATGCATTCTTCTGCTCCGGCAGAGGCAAGATGTCTTTCTGTAATATACCAGCTTTGAACTGTAAATAAAGCAATATAGAGTATGCAGCACGTATTCCTCATCCTTTCGCTGGGCAACCAGACTCTGCTTAAATCAACAGTGACTGCTTCACCCTACCTTATGGGTGGGCTGGCTCTGGGGAGTGGGGAGCATGTATAGAGATGATAGAATGGATTGCATGCCTGTAATAGTAATAGTAGTAGTAGTAGTAGTAGTAGTAGCAGTAGTAATGTATTATTTCTACCCCGCCCATCTGGCTGGGTTTCCCCAGACGCTCTGGGAGGCTTTCTAAAGAACATTAAAAACAGAATAAAACTTTAAACATTAAAAACTTCCCCTAAACAGGGGAAGTTTGTGTTTGCCTGTGTGTTTGTGGAGGAGGAGAGGGAAGGAAGGAAGGAAGGAAGGAAGGAAGGAAGGAAGGAACAGGCTGTTGGGATAAAGACAGAAAAGGAAAGGAGAAGGAAAGTGGAAGTCTGATCTGTTTTGGTTCAGTAGTTTATGGATTTGGCAAGTGACTCATGAAATGCACCACAATGAATCACAAAAATGGGATTTATCAGAACCAAGTATTTTTTTAAAAAAAATAAAAATATACCATTTTTTAAATTAAAGCTGTGCAGTGTTACTGATCTTGCTTTTAGTTTCTTTCTTTTTTTTAAATGATATTTATTAGAATTTCAAAGGATACAAAAATTACACAAAAACAAAAAGTAAAAAGTAGGAATACAAAAAGTAAAAATACAAAAAAATAGAAAATACAGAAAAGGAATAAAAACAAAACAAGTTCATTATTTTCAGACCCTTAACTCTCATTGCCTTCTTTCTTAGACCTCCTCCTCCTCCCTTCCTTTGTATTCTAGTTATTAATTATCCCAGCAAATCCTTTCCTTTCCATGTTTCATAAAATTCTATCATTACATTACCCTTGACTAATTTAATCCTATCTTTCTGTAATAAAGTAAATCTTAAAGTTTAAAACTTAAGTCTTAACCTTACCAACTTCTTATAATCATAGTATTCTTTCATAATTCTTTATGCATCTTTACTAAAGCCAGGTAATTTCTTCCAACATTTTTCTATCATTCCTCAACTTTGTGAAAGAAAGAGAGAGAGGAAAAAAAGAAAGATACAGACAAGTCCAATCTTTATCCAACGTTCCTTCCTCCTGGTTCCGGGATTTGTCAGTCCTTATTCCCATCAGTCTAACCCGGTGACCTTATGTCCGAGGCCCTCAGGTCACTTCCATGGCCCTTCCGCGGCTCTTCTTCATATTTATAACTGTAATGTCCTTTATCTTCTCATGATAACTCCAGCTTGACAATGTCTCTTGCTCGTGGTAACTCCAACTTAATAATGTTTTTATCCCTTCTCATCAGATCAGACCCTTTTCCGTATTCATCGCTGCATTCCATGTAGTATTTAAAAGCATGTTTCAAGGGCCCTCCAAAGTTGAGAGCCCCCCACAGTCCCAAACATATCGCAGCCCATTTCCATATTTAAAAAGTCCAGACATCCCAACATAGGGGGGTCAATCCAGCCCCCCATTTCCAAGCCACACCGAACTTTTCCTTTCCAGATCTGGCTTTTTCCAAATTCATTTGTCCAGTCCGAAGGATCATACCCTTGCTGGGTCTGTTCTGTCAAAACACACTGCTGATTTAATGCCACAAACTCCTGTTCTGTCAAAACACACTCCTGGTTTGGATCCTGAGTGGGCTCCACATGTTTTCCCACAGTCTGGTCAAAACATTCCACTGCCTGTTTAAGATTTCTAGTTGAAATGGCCATCCAGTTCACCTTATCATGTAATTCTTCCAGTAGAGCATTTGTTTTGTAAAAAGCGCAGACCAAGGCTTCTGAAAACATTGTCCTGCACAATCAAATACTTTCCCACGGTTATTTTGTAACAGCTGTCAATTCCCTGGAGTTAGTTACAGTTTCGCAAGCTCCCTCTAGGGGGAAGACTTATGTTTATTTTTGCTACAAAGTTTCCTTTTTTTCTTTTTTCCAAAATACTTAAGATACTTTGTCCATATTTATTCCTTTAAAATGCGAAAGGGAACAGTGGAATCACAAAGTTTCTCTTCTTTTAGCTGTCTGTCAAAAAAACAATTATCTTGGTAAACTCACGTTAGTCCTGACACCCCGCTCCAGGATCAGGACAGAGGAAAATAACTTCCTTTTGCAGATACTTCAAATAGTCCAAAAAAGAGATTCTCAATTTAAAATGTTGAAATCCACTCTTTTGAAAACGAATTTCTGAGCTCTAGTGTAAATTGCCTTTGCTTTATTCTATTCACAAAAGAACGGAAGGGTGACTTCCTGTGTAGCCCTTCCTGCTCCGTACCAGATTCAATAGATTTTTTTTTATAGTCCAATTCTGTCCTTCTCACAAATCTTTATTTGATGTCCCATTTGTTCAAATTCTAAGTACTCACGGGTGCTTGTTTTAAAGTCCGAATTGTCCCAGGAAAGAAGGCAGCGCTCTCCGGCAGCAGCTATGCGGCTTCGCTCCACGGAAATAGCGATTGACTCACAGCACTGCGCCGCTTCCCCCTCCTCACTTCGGAGCCCGATAATGGGTTCCTTAGCAGATTGGGGGGGGGCGCTAAAGGTGCCCGCCGAGTCCCACGGTCACAGGCTTCATCTGCCTGTGATTTTGAAGGGGTCCCCGCTTCGCCGTAGCGGAATAGACCCTGTTTACCGCGGAGCCAGTCCCTCCAGTTCAGAGGGAGTCCGCCATTGCCGGTGGCGCCACCCCAGAAGTTTTCTTTAGTTTCTATTTTTGTGGCTCCCCCCCCTTTTTTTAAGGATAGAGCACTGATACAGAACCTTAATGCATAATGATGCTAATCATATTTTTCAAAGTTTACCAATTATGCAGACTTTGTATAAATATTAAAAACCAGATAAATAGAAATGGTCCATAAACTAGTGGTTCTGTTTCATCCGTTTGGGTAAAAACTTTACCTGGGGATATCTGGAGGCAGTAGGGACTTTGCTGCAAAAGGACATCATTGCACAGACCCTGGACGTACCTAGTGAAGATCAGTGGACTGCTTCACACTTATCCAGTTTATAAGTGGCAACACATATTCATTATGTTAAATGAGGAAAACCTGAAGGTGCCTTAATGATAATCCTATAACAGTGACTCTAATGAATCTTGACACTGTTAATTACAGATATTTCACCTTTCAACCTGTGATGTCGTCCCCCCCCCTGTAAAGCAATTAATGGCTTGATTGTAAGAAAATCATGTAATTGATAACTTCTTCTGTACTGAGAAGCCCTGCCCAAAAGCTGGGACTCACAAAACTGTGGCCTGGAGGTTGGAAATTAGTCTACCTCAATATACACACTTAGGATACTGTTCTGGTAGCCACACCTCCCAAAGCATATTGTGGCTGCAACCATGTATCTATGTATTTAGCTGAGAATAAGGAAATCAGCCCTGAGCGCTCACTGGAAGGACAGATCCTGAAGCTGAGGCTCTAATACTTTGGCCACCTCATGAGAAGAGAAGAGACCCTGATGTTGGGAAAGATGGAGGGCACAAGGAGAAGGGGACGACAGAGGACGAGATGGTTGGATAGTGTTCTCGAGTTTACAAACATAATCCATTCCGGAAGTCCATTCTTAAACCGAAAC